TTCAATCGTGTTAAATGAAGAAATATGAAAAACAAACAGCTTGTGATCGGGTCAATCGGATCAGCATTTCCATAGAGGTTAAAAGACCTGTTAATTAATTAATATGTTTTAGGCGCGTTTTATTCATCTTCAGATAAAGTTGCTAGTAACTATTTGCAAGATAAATTCACCATTGTATAACTCTATTTGTCGGCTGATAACTGGCCGACCAATGGGGGCACGACGAAAATTAAAATTGAATCAAATAATCTAATTTGAATTAAATCTCCATTATTTAAAGAGAAGTTCTGATTCAGAAGCAATAAATTTGAAATAGGTAAGTACCTGATTAAAATTGGCATTTGTACAAAAAACTACCTCAACTATTGAGAAGCTTTCTAGGTTCAAATTCAAATAGGTAACAGATAATCAAAGAATTGCAGGTCTTTTCTCAAACCATCAATCTCGAATAATCAGCACACGTCTTGTGACTTGTGACATCACGAGGATACTGAACCTGCAGATGAACCCATAAATTACCGGAAAGACATTAGAAGCAAGGCTAAAGTAATTAAATTGTGGGGACCAAGTGACAGATTCACATCAGAACTAAATTTAACTTAACAAGGTCAGAAGAGATTTAATAGAGACCTATAAAACTTTCAATGGCTATACTATAACATTTCTCCGATTCCGTTTAAGCTCGGTGAAAATTTACAACTATGTGGACATTCTCTTATGTTACAGACACTACCACATCTGAGCTCCCAAGAAAACACTTCATCACTAACCGAATTGTATATCAGTGGAACGCGTTGTCGAAAGAAACTATTAGTGCCAGATGTCTGAACCTTTTCAAGAATATATAGTGACAAAAGTGTTGACCGTGAACTACCACAAATCTTATTGGGAGATATTATTATCATATTTAGTCCAAACTCTGGACATTAAGGATTTTGTGCAATTTAAGATAATATGTATGAACTTGATTTGTGTGTATTGTCTTATAACTGATATTGCTACTATGTAAAGGGCTTTGATCTTCAATGTAGTACCTACTTCAAAGTCGAATCTTGGTATTTTATTATATAAAATTTTCAACAGGAATTAGGGCTCCGAATCGAATCTCTAAATATGCCTTGAATTCTGGAAAGGTTTTCAAAACTTCAACGTGTTTCAAGGTTTGAAAATTGAAGAATTTGCAAAGCATGAAGATGCAATTCCTGATTTGCTTTGAGAGTGCTTCGATTTTAATAAAGACGCAGAAAAATTTGCAGATTTTGCGGTTCTTTCAAAACTTCGAATATTCACAAGAATTAGGAAAATCTCAAGTCTTATAAATAAAGCTTAAACGCTCGAAATATGAAACTAAAGTCTTTGACGATTTTGAAAGAACTAAAGACCCATTTTCAAGATTTTAGAATCAAGGCTTTGCTAAATTTAAGACAGATACTTAGCGACTGACCACAAAAAATCTAAACTTTCCAAATCAAACTAAGATGAAGGATTTTCCCATGTTTTTCTACAATCGAGCTCCTAGAAATATTCATCTCCTCGCATTGAAGCCTCCGATAAATATAAAAAATCTCAAATGGTATCCAAAACATTTGACTTGAGACTAAAGGTACCCATTCACTTACAGTTAGCCTGCAGTCCAGAACTGCCGATTTGCATATCGTCAGTTAAAATTTCTCCATACACGTTCAGGCCGTCGACAGATCTGAGCCTGCAGTTCACTTGAATCTAACGACGGACTAGAGTGTATAGAGAAAAATCGTCAGTTGATATCGTACGATCCCATCTTCAAACTAGTTGGAAGTTTTCATGATTCCGATTTTGTGAAATGGCCGAGTCAAGCAATAATACAGAGTTTTTAACCGAATTTATTGATATTTATAGGCAATTGCCTTGTCTTTGGAAAGTAAAGAGCAAGTCCTACTCAAATAGGCACGAAAAGAACAAAGCATACGAAAAAAAAGGGCTTGGGGAGAAATTATTGCCGAAAATTTCAAATCTTCCAAACTTCGCCCCGTTGCCAGATATCGGAGCGTCACTATTAAACGTTCTTCGGCTGTAATTGCTTTTCTCATTCTAGTATTTTTCTTTGATATTAACGGCTTAACCAAGCAAGAGTTCTTCAAAACATGCGTCATCCATTCTAAGGTAATTTTTAAGGTCTTCTGTTGCACTCTCGGTTGCACTAGTTCTTAATTTTCGTACCAGTCTCATATGAGATAAAGTATCACGTTGTAACAGCCAATCTTTTACCCAAAAACGTTTTTTTGCGTCTGTTATCGGCTCTTGCAATAATAATAGCACAAGAAGTGCGGCTAGTTGTTTCTTTCTATTAGTACGAAACATTTTCCACTACAGCGAGACTGTTCGATTAGCACTGACAAAATGTTTGTATGTGTGGCGAAAGCTCAGTTTTCCTTCAATTCAAAAACTGACAGTCTTAAAACTGAGGTCGCATCGTTTCAGAAAACTGAATGGTGTGTGGCCTGAGAAAGTTCAAATCTTCAGTTCAGATCGTACAGTCCTAGAACTGCGGGCAAACTGTAAGTGAATGGGTACCTTAAAGAATTTTAGAATTTGCGAAATTTAACGGGAATCAGAAAATAGGACATGAAGATTTTAGAGATGTTGAAAATTTTTATAAGAATCAAATATTGAAGTAGGTATATGAGTGAAATTACTCAAATATTCGAATATGAAGTTTAAACATAGTTTTTCTACTCCAGGCTCTCATCTCATATTTTGTTTAATTTTTCCAATTTTTTTCATCTAAAGAATTTTAAACAAAAACAAAGACTCTATAGACATTGATTTCCGACGTAGGTAACTCAGAAACTTTAAAATTAGTTTCAAAAAGGACTTTATCGAACTAAATGTAATTTTTTTCACTTGGTCTTGTACGAATTTATTGTCAGCTCTGTGTTTTACAGCTTATGGGTAACCTCTGGATTCACAGACTATATAGTCATAGTTTTTCTAATCCCAGGTCCTCATTTTTTGTCTATTTTTTTCTTCTTAAGAGATTTAGAAAAAACTTAAATTCAAGAGCCAGGAAAAGACAAAAGTTGAGTCAGAGAAATTGGAAAATGAAGAAAATTTCAAGACGAATTGAGAAAAAACTGTTAGACAAATATAGACGTAATTTTTCTATTCTAGGCTCTTATATTTTGTCAGGCAAAATGAGAAAAAATTGTTGTTAAAAAATTAAAAAGGAGAAAATTTTGAAACTTTTTGGATGCAAAGGAGAAGAGAGGAAAGCTAGACTGGAATTTCGAATTGATTATGGGGAAAATAACTAAGAAAAGTGAAGATAAAATTCGCGAAGAGTTTTATTTTGTGTTCTTCAACGTAGACATCAGTTTAATTTCCCGCCTTAAATCCAATCTTGTCCGTGAAAAATTTGAAAAAGTACATTCGCACCAGTTTACCATAAGACACGATGCCAAAAATTAATTCAAAATAACAAAATACCTATAAATAAATAAAATCACAGTAAAATTTGTAGTCAAGAGGACATGTTTGAAATTTGTACCCAAAGGAGTAAAAACATTTTGAACACAAGTTGCTTAATCCTTCTCTTGAATTTGCCTCGTTCTAAGCTTTTCATGTAATTCGTAAAGAGTATTGAAGAATTTAACTGAAAGATAGCCCGGACCTTAGGCCCGGACCGTCCTGACAACTCTTGTGTCATAGCTGTGGACTTCGCTATGCACCCTGAATTTATCCTTGTTGTTCGTTAAAAACAGCAGATTTTCAAGTCTGTAGTGAGATGGTAAAGTATGTTTAAACTTTTAAAAGCCTGTCTACAGTCCTCTGTGAAACCCAACCTTGACATGATTCGGATAGCCCAAAAGAGTCTGGTTACAAGGGGGGACAAGGGGAGAGTGGACCCAATCTAAATTAGGTACCATGATACACAGAGTGAAATAGCATGGTATGAAGTTTTTACCACATTATATGATGCACTATGGGAGAGATCACCAAGTACAAAAAGAGCTTTCATGAAACCTGATGAAGTTGGGCGTCCCATCTAAGAGTGGGGTTAATGTATACTCCAAGAAATCGAACTTTCCCTCACTTCTTCATTTACACCTCTGAGGGAGAAAACCAATTCCTCTGTTTCGTCTTCATTCATGAGGAGCTTATTAGCATTGAACCAATCCTTAAACTTGCCTCCCTTCTAAAAGTAGCCCAATCATTTGAGAACAAGCCTCTGAAAGAGTGAGTTTTCTGAAAAAAATCCTTAGAAAAAACCATAATCATCCACCTAAACAATTGCGAAAAAATTACATTTCCCAGCAGCTCCCCCACTTAACGCGCCTAATGCAGATATCCCAGCGAATATTGTTATTAATGGTAGATTGCCACCATTTTTAGGTACTCTCGAGCTGATGGTCTAATTTTACCTTCGGACTTCTTTATACCCTATATTCTGTGTGGTTGAGGACCGCCTGATTAAACGATTCCGCTGACATGGAGACTGAGGTGTCGTCCGCAAAAAGGGTGTATTTCAAAACGGAGATATTTTATATAGATTAAGAATAGTATCGGCCCCTTCACGCACACCTATATTTTACAACCCTTTCCGCAGAACACACCCCACCCACCCTGACAATTTGAGATCTGTTTTTCACATAGGAATTAACAAGTTCAATACTCTCTGTGCTAAAATTATAGTATACCAGCTTGCTCAGCGGAAGAGTTCATAGGAAACAGAGTAAAATGCTTTCCTTAAGTCACAGAAAATAAACACCTCATTATTTAATCAACGCTTATACGTCATCGTCTGGCGCGTTTTAATGAAAGAGCCCATGGATCATTTTAATTCAATGAATAAAATATCTGGGTATTGTTACAAAAAAAAAGTTAATCACAAACTACAATAATTAAAAAAATACTTCTTTTCACACAACTATAATGTTCACCAAGTTTTGAAATTTTATTTCGCTGTCTATACAGAATTAATAATAATTGTTTCAATTGACACTCTAATAAACAACGGATATTTATATTTAAAATTTAAAACAAAACTTCATTAAATATAGTATTTTAATATTTTCCCTGTAGATGATGATGTACTTTTAGTAGCACACGTAAATAATTTAGTTAGAAGGTATTAAAAACAATCAATATAACGAATATAGATACTATACCGACACATTTTAAAAATAGTATTTTTTTACAAATTACATTTTTAACACTTAATCGAAACAAAAATGATTAAAATTTTGTTTGCGTCATCGTATCACAGAATACAATCGAACATTTGCAACGACTTTGTTATTACTTCGTCTTTTAGGCAGGACTCCATGAACTCTTCAATTGTGATTACGCCGTCTTGATTTAGATCTAGTTTACGAAATACTCTGTCTATTTGTTCCCTTGCTTTTCGATCTTCTTCAACCTAAAAGAAGAATTTCAAAATTATTTGCCCATTGAACTTGACTCAGTAACAGAAAAGATATGAAATGTATATTCTTTAGACATCATTTCACATGAACTAGGACAACGCAGTTATACATAGTGAAATGTATCCAAAAAGCCAATAACAAATCCAATTGCCATTTGGGTCAAATTCGGAAAATTTATGTAGTAAGCTACTCCCTAGACGCAAGTAAATTTACCTGATGCGCCCTTCGTCCCATTAATTCGTGTACTGCGCTGACCACTTCTCCCAATTCTCCACGACTAATACATCCATCTCCGTTAATATCGTAAAGTTTAAACGTCCATCTGAGTCTTTCGTACACGCTTCCTCGGAGTAGCGTGGACAACGTTATGAGTAGATCCTGAAAGTGATAGGTTAGCAAAAAATGGAATATTTTAAAATCTGGAAAGTGTCTATATATTATCGTTATCGACCACCTGTTAGCTGCGGAATCGATGTTGAAAATTTTATAAGCGCTTTGCTGCTTTGGGGGTGATGTGGCGATAAATAGTGCCTGACACGCAAATTTATGAATTTTTTATAAAGTCGTTTTGTATTTAATTGAGTTATAAAGGTTCGTAAATAATAACTTATATCTAGTAAAGATTAATAGTATTTTTGAACTGCCTGAAGAAGCCTCAATTTGTCTTTTGATTTACGAAAATATACTTAAGGTGAATGAAAAAAACAACAATTATTATTATTGTCGTGTTTCCAAAATCTTGTGATAACAATATTAGAATAAAGAGCAGTGAAAAGTTTCTTAGATCAGACCTATATCTTATTCACATGGGATACTAACTATACCTATATAGTTTTCTTTGTGTTCAGAATATCTTGGAGGCTTTCCAAACTATCGGCAAACACCGCATTCCCCATTTTCTCTGACATTTTAATAATAGTCTTGCCTTCTTTATTATAATGAATATGTCAATATTGTGCTTTGTTTATTTCGTCCCTATTCTTCTCATACTTTTTTCTTAAGTTGAAGGATCGATTCTTAGCAATTCAACGGTATCTGTTTGATAGAATATTTTCCAGTACAAGTTATGTATATATGTTTTCTAATTTGTTGCATCGACGAAAACTGAAAAGTTCGGTCTCAATCATTTGTATTTGTATTGAATATGCTAGCACTGTCTGGAAGTGACACAATGTCATGGTATAGGGTAATACCAATGGATTTTTACATTAAGTGGAAAAATGAATTCTTCTTTGTAGAGTTTGTATCAATTTCTCGAGTGATCCAACGTTCTCTTTTCTCTTAATCCATCACCAAACTCGTTAAATGTTTTGGATAACTGTTCTTGTATTTCTTTTGTAGGTACCTACCTACTTGCTTGTTTTGAGTTTGCTTCACATCTACTTCCTTCTAATATTTCACTGTTTTCTGCATGTGCTTTTTTAAAGTTTTTAATGGTTTGAAGACATTTGACTTTAATTTCAATTTTTCTGGGAGTTTGAGGGATCCCAAAGGACCATTAGGACACAAAATCTCAAAAAAAGAAATTTGAAGTTTCATCGTTTTAGTACTGTACGTTTAGTACCTTGTGATTTACATTTTGGAAAACTTTGAAAGAGCATAGCTTTTTTTTTCTAAATGCGAATCGTTTACTCTATTCACCGATATAAGAAAAGTCTTAAAATTCAATAAATTATTTGCCACATTTACTGTGTTGGGCCACGTGCATATACCCCTTATACAGAAGAAAACAAAGGGAAAAGTTACCCTAGTAGTTACCTATGTCATTAGGTAAAAAAAGTGGGTTGCCGGCAGAGCGGGGCAAAGCCCTTAGTAAAAGGGCTTGAAGCACTAAGCCCTAAGCCCTTTATCAAAGTGCTTTCAATTTCAAGCACAAATTCTATTTTATTTCCAAAAGTGCTTCACAAGCACAAAGCCCTCAAAGTGCTTTGGGCTTGGCAAGCACAAAGCCCTCAAAGTGATTTGAAAAGTGCTTGAATGACATCAAAAGTGCTTGGGGTGCCTTGAAAAGTGTTTTGAAGCTCTTTAAATGTGCTTGAAAATCTTTAAATGTGCTTGAAGCTCTTTAACCCTCCGTACACACACTGGGGTCTACAGGACCCAAACAAAAGTTTGAAAGCGTGGCAAATTACGGAACTTTTAGCGATGGTTTCAAGAGTCCATGTAAATTTAGTTTATGCCCCTCACTACCTAAACCCGAAACGGCAGAATCAAGCATTTATTAGTTTATGACTGACAAGCGTGTTAGTAGGTCGCGGGGTCTAATATATCCCAGTGTGCGTTGCGAGTATCTTATTTGTGAATATACTTTTTGTATGTATCGAATAATTTCATACCAATTTTTCTGTGTTTGTAATTTATTTTACTTTTTTGATAAGAGAATTTATTAGATTTTATTCAAGAATATTCGTTTTCCTTGATGGAAAGTTATTTTTCCACTAAAACTTTTTTATTCATTTTTTGTATAGGTACAATGTAACAGAATATTTACATATTTGTTTTTTAGTACAAAATTATTAATTTTTCAAGTTTTAGGTTCTGCTTTTTGAACAAATAAACATCTATTGATATTCTAAAAAATCTAAAACATGTATTTTTTTTTTGTGTTAAGAACTAGCAATAAATGCTTGGGGTGTGTTTGGTGTTTTCAAAAAGTATGTGTGTGTACGGAGGGTTAAATGTGCTTGAAGCTCTTTGAATGTGCTTGAAGCTCCTTGAATGTGCCTAAAGCACTTTGAATTTGTAATAAAATTCTCAAAATGGCATAAGCTACCGTGTACACCCATCAGTTGAATTAGTATAGTAGAGATGAACTTCAAATTTCACAGAGTAGCAGTAGTATTTTATTAATTTTTTTGAGATGTAGTCCTGGGGTACTTGGGGTAGTTGGGGTACTACATGGTAATTCAATTTTAAGGCTTTCAAAATGTTTAATGAGAAAAAGTGGAAGAAAATCCAGTGATAAAGTTACATAGGGTACCAATATAACATAATTATTTATTTGAATAATCAGTTCATTATTTTTATTTTTTTTTTAATTCAATTCCAAGCTCAAACCAAAAACCTCCATTGTTAGGAGAGACATTGGACGGTTCTAGTTCAAATAATAGAAAAAAAAAATTAAGCGAAAAAACACATCGATCGGAAATTTTTAGGTGGGTGATAAATTAAATGATGGTCAATTCAAATTCCTTTCAAAGTGCTTCAAGCCCTTTTGAAGTGCTTCAAGCCCTTTTAAAGTGCTTCAAGCCCCTTCAAAGTGCTTCAAGCACCCAAAAGTGCTTCAAGCCCTCTATAAAAGTAATTGAAGCTCATTGAAAGGGCTTGAATTACTTTTTTTCAATTACAAATTACCAAGCACTTCTCTAAAGTAATTGACTTTGCAAGCCCCAATTACAAATATATAAAAGGGCTTGAAGCACAGGGCTTTCAAGTCCTCAAAGTGCTTGAAGCACTTTCACAAGCACAAAGCACTCAAGCCCTGCCCAGCTCTGGTTGCCGGTTGCCGATTTTAAATAAAGAAGCAGAGCATTGGGATCGTATAACCCACCTATCTCCCTATTTACCTCTAAGACTGCTGGGTTTCAGCTTCTGTTGATGACTATTAAATAGTAATAAAATGCAGATGAATTCCTTATATGTATTAATGATTTATATGCTCGAGCATGGATTTTGATCATTGTATGGTGGATTTTCCCTTCAAGAACCATGTTGTCCATTGATAAAGACATTCTTAAAATGTGGGGGGATTTTATCTGCAACAATACCTTTAAAAACTTTGGCTACTAAGGAGACCTTTGATATTACTCGATAATTCTCAATGTCTGATTTGTCTCCATTTTTAAAAACTGGAATACCATAGGATTTTTTCCAGGCTTCTGGATATGTACCAGTAGACAATGACATATTAAAAATATCACACAAAATTTAAGACAGAACAAACCTGTAGCCTTCTAGGAAAACAAACGGTATGCCATCTGGCCCAACACCGAAACTCTGCTAAAATTTGCAAATTCTGTCAAAAACATCAAGTGGAGATAGCTTAAGCTGCCCAAGATCAACCATCTTCTCCGATTCAAAATTCGGAAACATAACATATTATTATGTAATATGATATGTCTCTATCTATCTAATCACATCACATGCTAACCACACGCTTGGTTTCTTTCCTTTTTTATTACCAAGGAACGAGTCGGAGCGCCTCCCGAGACATGGCGCCTGGAGCGCCCGCTCCGTTCGCCTTATGGTAGGGCCGGCCCTGTTTGGGGGATCCCAAAGGACCATTAAGACACAAAATCTCAACAGAAACAAATTGAAATTTCATCGTTTTAGTACTGAGAGCTACCTTATGATTTAGATTTTAAAAAACTTTGAGAGGTCATAACTTTTTTTCTATTGAAGATAGAAAGCTGAAATTTTCAGCGATTTTTATTCCAGTAGAGGATTACAATCCCTAAAAATTTCAGCTCATTTCGTTTTTTAACTGGTCAAAATCCGTGTACCGTGTACAAGTTGGTCAAAATCCCAGAAAATCCCATAAGATCTACTCAAAATCCCTAAAAATCATTAAAATCCTGAAAAATTTAACATAATCTTACAAAATCTCTTAAATTGCATAAAATCCTACAAAATCAAAGAAAATTTCATTAAAACCAAAAAAATCCTGCAAAATCTCATAAAATCATTACCATTCCTAAATAATATTTCCCTTGAAATTCCCAAAAATCCTTTGGAATCCCCAAAAGTATGTTAAAGTCTCTTAGAATTTCATAATTTAGTGGAATTTCGAGGAATTTCGGTAGAATTATGTTATTCTGAAAAAGGAATTATATGAGAAATGTTTGCGATGTTTCCATAGATTCACATAAAATTTTAGTTCCTCTCGAATTACATGATCGAATTACACGAAATCCTAAATGAATTGCATGAAGAAATTCTAAACAATTATATGAAATTACACCGAAATTCCCAACAGGAAATTTCAGTTCTTACTGTATTTTAGTAAAATTCCACAAGTGGAATGGCGGGGAATTTCCGGCTAAAAACATGGAATTTCGGTGATATTTGATATTCCGAAAAATTCCCATATGTAATGTCATGAAATTTCAATATATTTCGGTGAATTTCCAAGAAATTACTTGAGGTTTCATTAATAATCCCAGAAATTCCTAGCTATTAAAAGAGAATTTCAGTGAAATTCCGAAAAAATCTTATGAAAATAAATGAAATGAAAAATTCCTTGAAGTTTTATTGGATTCGGGAAATTTTCGGCTATGAACGTGGACTCAAAATATTCTCATTAAATTTTAATGAATTCCGAGGAATGTTTGAGAAATTACATGAAATGTCAATGAAATTCCGAAGAATTTTATAAAAATTTTGTGGAATTCCAGGATATTTTAGTTGAGAAATTTTGGGGAAATTTCAGTAAAGTTAAAAAAAAATTGTGGAATTTTTATGGAATTTTGAAATTAAAATTTTAGTGGAATTTCGAGGAATTTCATGAAATACCTAAATCCCATACTGTAATTCCGAAAAAATGTTGTCTGAGAATTCCATAAAATCTTCTGGTGAAATTTTAAGGAATTTCTATGGAATTACTTGAAATTTTTGCGGAATTCATCAGGAATAACTTGATATTTTAGCGGAATTCCGAAGAATTACATGAAATTTCATAGTGTAATTCCGAGGACTTTTTGTTCAAGAACTCCTTTGAATTTTATTGTGGAATTCCATGAAATCTTATCGTGAAATTTGGAAAAATATTATGAAATCTTATAGTAAAATTTTTAGAAATTTCCGTTTTTATTTACCTTTTGGGTGGAATTTCGAGAAATTCCATAAAATCTTCTGGTGAAATTCTAAGGAGAATATTATGGAATTGACTAAAATTTTCGAGAAATTCTCATGGAATAACTTGAAATTTTGGTGGAATTCCGAAAAATTTCATGAAATATTATATTGTAATTCCGAAGAAAAAAAAAATCCAAGAATTCTATTGAATTTTATGGCGTGAAATGTGACAAGGGAAAATTTTTGCGGAGTTTCCAGAGAATTCGCATCAAATTTTAGTTCCTCAGAATTACATGAAATTTCGAAAAATTAAATGAAATTTCAGTGGAATTTCGATTGAATTACATGAAATCCTGAATAAGTGGCATAGAGGAATTCTAAACAATTACATTGAATTACACCGAAATTCCCAAAATGAAATTTCAGTGCTCGTTAAATTACATAAAGGATTTTTAAAAATTTTCAAAAAATTACATTATTTTCGAGGAATTTTCATCGAATTATATGAAGATCCGATGCAATTGCATGGAATTCAAAGGAATTTTCAGGGAATTACATGAAATTTAAGTGGAATTTTGAACAACTCTTATAGTTTCATAAGGAATTCCAGTAAAATTCCGAAAAATTCTAATGTAATTACATGAAGTTTTATTTTTATTCCAAGGAATTCCCAGTTAAAAACATGGCATATTAGTGAAATTGAAATTCCCATCGAATTACTGAATTTTAGTAAAATTAGAGAAAATTTCACAAGTGGAATTCCGAGGAATTTCCGGCTGAAAACTTGGAATTTCGTTGAAATTTGGAAAAATTCCCATGTAATGATATGAAATTTCAATATATTTCGGAGGAATTTCGGTGAATTTTCAAGAAATTACTTGAAATTTAATTAATATTCCTAGAAATTCCTGACAATTGAAAGAGAATTTCAGTGAAATTCCGAAAAATTCTTATGGAAATAAATGAAATTTTGAAAACAATTTTGAAGTTTCATTGGAATTTCGAGAAATTTTCGACTAATAACGTGGCATTTCAGTGAAATTCCTATTTTTAAGAAATTACAGGAAATGTCAGTGGAATTCCGAAAAATTTTATGAAAATTTTGTGGAATTCCAGGATATTTCAGTGATGAAGTTTTGGCGAATTTCAGTAAAGTTTCTAAAATATTCGCAGAATTTCCATCAAATTATATATAATTTCACTTTGTGTCGACTTACGTAAAATTTCGATGTAATGTCGAGTAAAATTCCAAGGAATTCTCGTCGAATTACATACATGGAATTCCTTGAAATCTTATTGTGGAATTTCAATAGAATTTCCGTGGAATTTCCATAGAAGCACGAGAAATTTCGACGGAATTCCGAAGAAATTAATTAAATTTTAGTGGAATTCCGAGAAATTTCATGAAATCTTTTTCTGTAATTTCGAGGAATTTTTGTACAAGAATTCCATTGAATTCCATGGAATCTTATGGTGGAATGTGGAAAAGTATTACAAAATCTTATGGTTTTCTAGGACCTTCTGTTTTTCTATTCAAAGTCATTTGACGGGAATTTCGAGGAATTCCATAAAATCTTCTAGTGAAATTCTAAGGAATTTCTATGGAATTAACAAAAATTTTCGCAGAATTCCTATGGAATAACTTGAAATTTTAGTGGAATGCCAAAGAATTTCATGAAATCTCATAAGTAGTGTAATTCCGAGGAATTTTTTTCCAAGAATTCCATTGAATTTTATGGTGGAATTCCATAGAATCATATATGATGAAATTCTGAAAAGTATTATGAAATCCTATACTTAGTAAAATGTCTAGGAATTTCCGTTTTTCCATTCAAATTTGTCATTTGAATTTAGAATCTCTAAAAACTTTTCAAAACCCCCTAAAATGCTCCAGAATCACCTAAAATTTTGAAAATCTAAAATCTTCTGAACTCCTGTAAAATCGTGTAAAGATTTTCAATATTCCCAAAATCCTACAAAACCAATTAAGATTTAAAATATATGTCCATTATATTTTATAGAGTTAACTAAACCTCGGAGCGGTTGATTGGTCAAAATCGGTGAATACAAGTCCAGAAAAACTTGTAAGATATATTTAAAATCCTTGAAAATCTTTAAAAATTTAACAAAACCTCACAAAATCCCTTAAAAAATTACTTGAAATCGCATAAAATTCCACAAAATCCCACGAAATTTTACTAAAAATCCGGCAAAATCTTATAGAATCATTAATATGTAGATATTCCTAAAAAAAAATTCCTTCAAAATTTCCAAACATCCTTTGGAATCCTGAAAAATCCGTTAAAATTTCTAAAAATCCTTTAGGATCTCTAATTGCCGTTTCCAACTATTTTAGGGGAGCTTCAACAATAAGTATTCCTTGAAATGACAATCTTCTATGGAAAAATGTCAGTTTAAAAAATACTTATCGTTAAGGCTCCCGTAAATTAGGTAGAAACGTCATGAAAACTCTTTCTAAATTCTCTAAAATGATCCAAAATCACCTAAAATCTCATAAATCTAAAATTTTTTAAAATCCTGTAAAATCACGTGAAGATTTTCAAAATCCTCAAAATCCTACAAAAGCAATAAAGATTTAATTATGTACACATTTTATGGAGTTAACTAAACTTCGAGCGAAAATTTGTATAGAAGCTGGTCAAAATTCCAGAAAAACTCGTGAGATCTACTTAAAATCTTTAAAATCTTTAAAAATCTAACAAAATTTTATTAGAACAAAAAAAATCCGGCAAAATCCTATAAAATTCCTAATAAAAAAATTCCTTTAACATTTCCAAAATTCTTTAAGGATCCCCAAAAATCCGTTAAAATCTCTGAAAATCCTTTAGGATCCCTAAAAACCCTTCTAACTTCCCTAAAATGCTCCAAAATCACCTAAAATCTTTTAAAATCTTGTAAAATCATATGAAGATTTTCAGAATCCTCAAAATCCTACAAAATCAATGAAGATTTAAAATCTTTGTACCTACATATTTTGAGTAGCATGTAAATCATAAGATAAGCCTTTTTAGTAATGAATATTAGAAGGTTCTATCTTGTGTTGTGAAAAATCGAATTTGCATCGTTTTCAGTGCGGAAAAGTGTTTTAAAACGTGCCTCCTTATGTATCATTAGGTAAGCGAAAAGTGTTGTAGGTCAGGCCATGTTATAGTATTGTAACGGCCAACAGTGTGTCAAGAATCCTAGGCTGTCGATTACCCTAGAAATTACAGATTCCTATAATCTAGTGAGCAAGCTGGTATTTAGTTTTAAGTCTAAGTTTGACTGTGATATGATTTAAATAATGATTATTGTTGCGAGTTTTAAAGAGTTTAATTGTTGAGTTAGTTATTAAAGTAATTAGTGTCAGAGTGTAGGCAACCCAGAGCCGTGACAGTGTTTATTCTCAAGTATTTTCAGTTTTTAGATCAGTAATATTGTTTGGATTTCAACATGCTTTGTCAATAAATAAGTTGTTTTTTTTTTTGGCGATAATGCTCATTTTGATAACTTCAATCTACGGAGCCGGTATAGAATCTACAACTGTAGTGGTACCCTATTTCAAAAACTAAATAAAAAGAACTTTTCATACTTGAAAATATAAGGCAATGCTGCGACCTGGTGCAGTCATTGCAATGAAAAAGCAGTGTGTAACATAAAAATCGCATATTTGGCAACATTTCCAATGGCATCAATATCAAAACCGTATACATTTTGATATTTTTGTAATATTTAAAAGAAAATTCAATCACAATGTTCGATAACCATTATTTTTGAAAAAGTTAAGTATCCAATTTTAGTATCAACACTAGGATATGAATGAACATCAAACATCCAATAAAACTCTAAAGAAAACGCTAATGAAATTTCGCAGCATGAATGAAGCCGTAGATATGTATGGAATCCTAAGCTAAGCTAATAAAAATTCTAACGGCTATTTTACTTACTCTAAAACTAATCGCTCCATTACAGTTTACGTCAAAAGCCTTAAACACGTAATGGGCGTATAAAGTGGCATCTGAAAGAAAAATTAATATTGAATGAGAACTAATAAAGATGAATACCTACTAAAATTATAAGATTCTATAGAACTACTTTTAGAGCTGTTTTATTTTCAAATACTTACTACCATGCGGGAAGAACTTGGAATAAATATCCTTAAAACTATCTTCATGGACTACACCTTCAGGACATTCCTAAAATAATTAAAAAAATATTCAAACATTAAAGAAGCATACTTATATGTGTGATATTTTTCTATGGTTTCCGCAAAACATTTGTTAATATGGCGTATTAATACAGAAATTGAAAAATAGGGGTGTAAATTAGTAGAAAATCCGCATTGAACATTTTAAATGAAAATTCGATCTTTGTGGAACCATTGAAAAAAATATTCTTATTTCTATATTAATAAATCCTTACAGTTTTAAATCCTCGATACATAATCCTTATCTCTTGTCTGGTGAATTTGGTAAGTCTGCAAAGGTCTTCTAGTGCCACCGGTATTGGCTTGGGTATTCTGGACGGTTCTATTTCAAATACAACCTCTTCTATTGGACTGTCGGATGGTGTGGCCATGGTTTTTATTTTGGGGTGTTATAAGAGGTATTCACAAAAAGTCCATTTGGCAAAACATTGATGGTAGGTATATTTAAATTGGGCTGATATCTACATTATTGTAAACTAGTTATTGATTGCGACATTTTTCTGAAATAGAAATGTTTATATTAATTTTTCGGCTTTATTGTCTCTTTGCTGTGATAACATTCATTAATTTTATAAATTGTTTGGAATTGAATTAAAACTCTTTGAACTGTATAGCAAAGCAATACCATCTAACTTCTGACAGCACAAAGCACGAACTACATACATTGTTTGAATATAGAAAGAGATTGAAGATAAAACTCGACAACTGTCGTAGGCCTACATTGTTCGAATGTCCCTATTGATTTCATTTGAAAAAGTTTGTATATCAAGCTGAAAGCAGAAATGTATTTGTTATGCAGAAGTTTTATTGATAAAATATGAATTGTAAAATGAAACAAAGTAATTTATAAATTCATGAAGCTGAATTAAATCAGTCATTGAATAAATGTTCCAGAAATATCCTAGAACTGAATTTGCTTTTCTAAAACTTTCAACAAAAAGTTAAAGCCTCAGGACAACTTCAAAAGCCATTCACTTTAGAGTTGCACCAATAAGCAGCTTTCCGATTTAAATAGCCTTTTGTTTTCAGACATATTATGTTTTCCACGTAACATCTAGCTTTAAGTTTATATATGTTCAACAATAGAAACTCGGTTCCTTTCTTGATGTGAAAATAAAAATTTCATGAACAAAGTTCGTGTAGCTAGTTTTATGCTTTTACAACAATATAAAAGTCTCATTTTGCATATATTAAGTTTAATTAATATCAATGAAAACCAAAACAGTGTTTTTTGATTTTAATCACACACGAATAATGTTCTATTCAAATTAGTTGGGGGGTGACCTTATTTAGGAACTCCGTTTAAGAATTCCATTAAACATAATACTGGAATAGAGCCGGGCTTCTTTATGAATATTTTAATTGCATTGCAACTTACCTTTGTGTTAAGTTTCGCCTTTTGTTGCAAATGGAAACATTTTTCTAAAGACTTTTTTTTCGAAAAGCTCGAAGCTTGAAATAGCCTTTTGTCTTTAATAGCCTTGTGTAACGATTCCACACCTTTGCGTGTCTAAAATGCCAAACTGTTTCCTTATTTACTCAAAAATCGTTAAAGATTTTAATCACTCTAGGAATGAGTAATTATGGAAGAATACTTATAAAAGGAATGGATTTTATAAAGTTAGTAAACATTTTTCTTGCATCTCTGGCGCTTAGCCAATTTATAAAATACTTATGGATAGGTATAAATCAAATACTTTTGGATAAAAGTCATCTGGAAACTGAAAAGGCATTTTGGCTTTGATATATGAAACATGATGCTGCTCCTTGAAAATATTAAAGTTGAAATTGGATATATATATGGAGTAGAAAATGTACGTGTCAAGGAAACATTGCCAACATAAATTCTTAATGTTAATGAGAAGTATTTAGGCTTCTAAACTGGCGTTCGTGTTAAAAGCTACTGTTTTAGGTAAGTCTTTGGGCCGCATTTAGAAGTATGTGGAACCACGCCAAATATTTGGTTGCTATTTTCAAAAAATTGTTTCACATCAGTGTTCCAACAAGAAATTTGCCAAGAGTGTGGCTATAAAATGTTATGGAGTTATTTTTCTTGAATATACAGTGTGACCATTAATATTTTTGCTTCTTGATATATTTTTCTCCTTGTTCTTGACTTACCAAAAAGAGAGGAAAAGTTACTGTAGAAAACATTGGTAGCAACTACCGAATTCATGGCACCAAGTACATTTTGCCGGTTTTGTCTTTCAAATAATCAATGAGTTTTCTATAATCAACTTTTTGTACTTCATTTTCCCTCATAGAGCCCTCCTGTGAGAGATAATTCTTCCATGTATCAATTATTGTTAGATTAAGCATTACAGGATAATGATCAGTTAAATCTGAGTATAGGACAAAAGCTTGTGAATTTATTGTTTCTGCCTTCAACTTTTTTCTAATGAAAATATGGTCAATGCAGGAAGAAGTTGTGGTTGTTACTCTGGCATAGCAATTTATTAAAGACGAAAACCCAAAACGATTTATTGTTGAAATGTATAGATTTGAAAGTTCATTGTCATTATCACAAATATTAAAATTTGTGTCGCCAACGAAAACTTCGATTGCTTTATCTAACTTGCTTTCAAAATATGCCTCAATATCCTCTATAAACATGTTTTCATTTGTAGAAGGCGGCCTGTACACATAATTAAGACCGAAAGTTATATTTCCTGTAGTAAAATTAGTTTTATTCAATGTTACAGAAGACCTAACAAGCTTATAACTATCTATATGTACATTCAAATAGTCCCTTGTATAAATCAACAAACCATCATTCCTGTTGAAGCTGGCACCATCATAAAAGGCAGTAAATCCAGGTATATTAAACTGCATTTACTGTGAATCGACCAGTTGCAAGCACTTGCTGAGAACAATAATGTCACAGTATGTTTGTTAACTCAAAAGTATTCAACATTACGAGGAGACTGTCAAAATTCGTCTTAACACTTCTTTTATATTGGTGAGTGAACATACACTTATTCCCGCTAATGTTTATTTGAGATTTCAGTTCACTGACATTTATGCTCTCCCATGGAAGTCCCAGGTTACAATTCAAGTCTGCTAAACTATTATGAACATCCACTTCTAGTTGGGCAGCCATTATTGTTGTCCATAATCTATTTTAGTTTTAAGTACATCTATTAGGTATTTGTAAGAGGGACATTCCATACAGGATTGCTTTATGCTCAGTGTTATATCCTGTTTTAAACTTTTTATTTGCAGCTTTGCAGTTTCCACACTTTTTAGAGGTTTTTGGGCATTCTCTTATATCATGTTCTTCCATACAGTATTCACAGATAGTTTTATTGTAGCATTCATTGTTCTTGTGATAATAGCCTTGACACTTAATGCATCTTGGGATGATGATATTCTCATAAAGACTGTATCTTTCCCACTCTAGACTAGATAAACTCTTTTGTTGCTAATCATTTTATGAAACAGATTTGATGAACATTCCATATACAGTGTGTCCACTTAAGTTCGCAGTATATGGGAAACTTTTTTATTATCAATTTTACGAAAAAAAGTTATTCTTTATAAAAGTTTCTGCTTCTTGAAAAAATAGTATTAAACTATTAAAAATTGAAATAGCATGTACAGGGTGGTCAGAAAATGGAAAAATATACAGGGTTTTTTTTTAAAAAAGTAAAAAAAAAAAATGGCACATCACTATTTTTTTAAACCTTTGATATTTTTTTCAGATTAAGCAAGTCATATAACAGTCAAAAGATACTTTCCGTTATCACAAATAAACCTGCCAAATTTGAAAAAAAAATTGGAAAAGGGATTTTTCTAAAACTTTGACACCCTGTAACTCAGAAACTACGCATTTCCGGACACATTTTTATGGGAACTTTTTTTTCTTAAAATATTGCAAGGAATCATGGCCCCTCCTAGATAAGAAAATAGTTATTTATGCAACAAGTTTGTAAAGTGAACCTCACAACGAGTGAAAAACGACAATCACATGAGTGAAAAAAGGTGCTTTACGCATGTATTGCTATTGCATACAAAATTTTTTCTACTACCTATCAGATATGTGTGAAAAAATAGATTTAGACAAATACTTTACGAACTAGTGCGTGAAGTATTTTCACTTTACGCACTAGTGCGTGAAGTACTTTACCAGAAAAATACCAAACGGCCATTTTTTTTCCAGTGATAAAAATAGGTCTACTAATGAGAAATATACTGAAGTTAGGTAAAAAATATTCCGGGTAATCTGTGAGTATGGATAATACGTCTGGCAAGTGAAAAATTGAAGATCCGAAAAATTTCAGCCAGACTCACTTTCCACTATCTGAGATAATAGACTGTGAGATAGGGGCTGTTTTGCGGAGTCATTTTTTTTTTGCCTGGCATTTTGAGGGCTGAATGTGGCTACTAAGCTGATGAGAATATGGGTGATTTTAATGCCGGCCTCCCGTTCGAAAATTTGCAGAAGAAAAAAATTGATTTACATGAAGAATTTTTTTTTAATGATCTCAAATTTTCTAGCTTTTAAATAAAAGATTGACATTGATAAATAATTCACCCATGAAAAATATCAGATGCTTTTCAATAGCTGAAAAAATGGGGATGGGTGTCAACTTCCAAGAGAAAAAAAAAAAAACCTTCCGCGTTTACTTTTTGTCTGGCAATCGAGAGAATGAAAGATTTTGTTGTGAAAATAACGCTGAAAAATCGCCAGACGGTAATCACAGTTTGAAATGGAGTTTTCCGGCGAAACATTCTGTGGACATTTCGAACAGGAGGCAGGCATTAAAACCACTTATATTCTCATCAGCTAACTAGTCACATTCATCCCTCAAAATGCCAGACAAAAAAAATGACTCCACTAAACAGGCCCTATCTCAGGGTCTATAAGCCAAATTGCTATTTTCATATACCTACTTTATGTTCTATTGTAGTGAATGTGATATATTTATGACTGGGTAAAATAAGTGTGAACCCATCCGAAAATTTTTGCGAAACTCAAATATTCTTGTTTTGTATCACCAAGAGAACAAACTATTTAATATACCAACTGGGAAAATAAGTACGCTAAAAAATTTCACTGCTTCCTGGACTATGACGATTTTGATGTGAACCATTCTGATGAAAGCTTCAGGTAAAATTTGAGGCACTTGGTTTCTATGATAGTATTTTTAAAATTTTTGAAGCCAAATATGGTGGAGACGGCTCAACTAAATGTAGAGACACTATATATTTTTGGAATCGGAAAATTGTGCTCTTCAAGGATATAGAATCAAATATAGGGCATTCTATTTGAAAAAAGTTGAAAGTACGCAAAATTTCAAATTTCTGACAATAATTTACCTAAAACTGCTCCACTTTTGTGTTTACACCTATCATCTACCTATAAAGGTACGTGGGGTGTCAAATTATAACCAGATACCCTGTACCTTCCAATATTTTGTATGGCCCCCCCCCCTTAATTTGGGTCTGGATCCGCGCCTGCAATAAAGTGGTTTTGTTCACGCAGTGCCTGTGCTATCTC